TTGCCAATTATCACACTTGACTTGGATTTGCATACAACTGTTGCATATAAAACACTTCCAGGGGTATCTTRGGCTTCAGTGAGCTGTGAAAATGCCATTTTTTTGCAGCTCTGTTCCAGCTCTGCCAGGCAAAACCTCCTCCTCCTCCCCTTTCCTGCCCTTCCAACAAGTGGCCTTCCTTCTGGGGACTCACATTTGGGATTTACWGCTGTGAAAGCACAACCCCAGAACAGGCAGCTCTCCATGTTCTCAGGTATTTCACCCTGATGAGAAAGAATCAAAATTGCTCTTTTTAATTCRAGGTAGTGAATGTGCTGCCTGCTCCTCTCCCTTGTGGAGCATTGGCATTGTGCTGATGTGGCTGTCAGGATAATCATGTTTTCTGATGAAAGCATAAGACAAAAATGATGTTTCCAAATGGAGCTTGTTGTGATTTATCCCCTGCACGCAGCACACGCCACACACCTAATTTTGCTTGCTGAACTCCTTGAGGTGAGCTTTTATTTTCTGTTTCCACTGCTGTATTTAATGTGCCACGCCGAGGAGTCAATTAACGGGGTCCACAAAGCCGGCGCTTCGATTTGCTAATTGCTCCTGGAGCTGAGGGTATTGTTGTGTGTGGAGGGAAAAGCTGCTCATTAGAGATTGAGGAGTTAATTTTTCCCTACAAACGAGGCTCGAATTTGAGCTGCTCTGCCATGGTTCAGGGCACTCAGCTCCAGGAGGGGATGGGGGGCTCTGGGTGGCTTTTCCAGCTGCGTTGTCACCCTCACATCRTTTTGGTTCCATTCATTAAACCCTCCCTGACCTGCCTCCTCCAGCACAGGCTGACTTTTGCAAGGTACAGAAGACAAATTATTGATGCAGGGAAGCAAGTTAAACAATTCAGAAATGTCTCCTTGGAGCTGAGGAGGTTCCTCTCCTTGGAAACCGTTCCTGGTTCAGCCCGAGCTGCAGATTCCCAGCGAGGCTGAGCTCCGGTTCTTCCCTTCCCTTCTTTTGAGGGTGACAATCCACTGACAGGAGATTAGACTATGTTGTCATGTAAGATGAGTATTTTGAATTGACAAACCCTTTTTTTGAAAGCTTAAAGTAATTGACTGAGTACTTGAGAGGGTTTTTTTTTTTCCCCTGCTCTGCTGCTTGATTTTTCCTTTACCTGGTTGTGCTGCCTTCAGTGGGTGAATTGTGCTGTATTTGTATATCTGATTCATAATATCTGTTTGCATATCAGGTTTCCTAACGCTGGAGCTCGGTGATCTGTGGGAATTTAATGTGTGTGTTAAGTAAAGAGAATTTCCTTGGAGTTTTGAATGAACTTTTATGTGCAGCATGAAAATTCAACACGGAAGCCTTTCCTACTGAGAGATTCCCGAGGTGCCAGGGTGGATGGGATCAGTTGGAAAACCCCTGTGACACAAAGCTGAGCTGCAAAGAGAATCATGGAATGGTTTGGGYTTGAAGGGACCTTAAAGATCACATTTCCATGGGCAGGGACCCCTTCCACTGTCCCAGGATGCTCAGAGATCCATCCAACCTTGGACATTTCCAGGGATCCAGGGGCAGCCACAGCTTCTCCAGGCACCCTGTGCCAGGGTCACCCCACCCTCACAGCTGAGAGAATTTTCCTTTTTTCTCATCTAAGCCCACTCTTTTCCAGCCTGAAGCCATCCCGTTTGTCCTGTCACTGTCCATGTCCCCAACGTGGCTTTTCCAGAGCAGAACTCTGAGCTGGGACTGGCAAAGAGCTCCAGCACCTTCTGTGCTCCCATACCCTCCCAGCACCCCAGAATGGCCCAGCTGGTCTGGAAGAGACCAGGGCTGGCTCAACCCACAAACCCAACAGTTCATTCCTGAGAAGATTCATTCCTGAGATGACACATTCCAAGAAACATCATAATTTTGAGGGGTTTTTTTTCAGGTCTTTCCCCACAAATGCCTGGGGAATGGGAGCAGAGAGCCCTCTGCATCTCCTTCCCTGCACAGAGAGGGGCTGGCAGCTCCTCCCCAGCACTCTGATTAAGTGAGAYGTGGGGATAAGTTCAGAGCTTAATTTCTCCTTCGTAATTAAAAATGTGTGCATCTGTCACACTGCYGGTGATTAGTTTGCATTTCCTCGTGGCCTGGAAGGAATATGGCAGTGAATCACTTTGCAAGCAGCTGTCCCCCAACAGCTGAGGGAGGTTCAATATTTGATTTAAGCTAATAAAAAGTCTGGGGTAGGGCTGGTGTTTACAAACTGGACGTGCTGAAGCATCCAGAGCATCTGTCTCACAGCCTGGGAAGCACAGACAGCAGGGATCCTGCTGAAATTTGGGTTTTGTCTCATTCTTCCCCACCCTGTGAGCACTTGGGACATTGAGTGGCAGTGTCCCCATCGGGCTGTGAGTGCATCCAGCAGCATCAGCTGGGCTGGGGAAGCCTCTTCATTGCAGCTTTGTCATTGTAACAGCTCCCAGCACATTAAATATGTCCCTTTTGCTCTTCTGCGAGGCTTGCAGTCAAACCGTATGTTTAAAAATCTTTTAATCTTCATAAATCATTTCTTCCAGCAGTCTGGTAAGTTTAGTAGCTGCTCTCTGAATTCCCACTAGTTGCTGACTCTTTTCCCTTTGAGATGAGCTGCCTAGAAATAAATGCAATGAAGAAAACCTACTTTATGTTTTAGTTCTGATCTGATTGCTTCTCCAAATCATATTGATCTGCTGTTGTTATGCTGCTGCCTTGGACTTGCTGCCCAGGTTTCTCTGTCTCTCTGTTGGCACAGCACCTTGAAATGGTTATTTTCCCCGAGCCATATCATATAGGAGATAAATTATGGCATATTTCCTGCTTGTATTTTCAATTTCTGCCATCCCTTTGTATTATTTCTCTCTCGCCTGAAAGGTTTTTCCCGAAGTTAAATGTGTTGGAGCCTTTGCTATCCTTTTATTCTGACTTTTATGGAGGTATTGTGCTTTCAAATGCTCTTATACCCATCTGGTTAAACAGGCTGCTAGGGTGCTGCTGCCTTGGTGTTATAAATAAAAATATTTACACGGTGAGGGTGACCAGAGCTTGGCACAGTGGGGTGGGTGCCCACCAAAAGCACAGGGGATTGAGCCTTGAGGGGATCCACACTCTCCAAATGTGAGTTATTCTGTGATTCTGTAGGAGTCTGTCAAAACAGGAGGGTGAACTTGACCTAATCAAATTCAGGAYTGGCAGCTACTGTAAGAAAATGTGTTGATTTTTAATGTCATCCTGAAGGAAGTAATACTTGTATCCCGTTTAGAATAGGCTAGTAGCTCCCACCTAAATATAGATAAAGCTGATAAATACACAGAACAGTTTGGATAGTTTGTAATCAAAAATATTCAGTCAGTCTTGGKGTGTTTTGCAAAGTTTATGCCAGCACCTCTCCTAAATAACCTCCCTGAGGCCGTGTTTTTGAATCCTTCCTGAGCAGCTCGTGGCTCCAGCCTGCTGCTGTCATTACCTGGTTCAGTAGCCGTGGGGAAAAAAAAAAAACCAAAACCTTTCCCAGGTGTCTGCAAATTCATAATTCCCTGATGTTTCTGCATCAAACTCGGTGATCATTTCATTTTTTCCCTTCACTTGCTCGTCCAGTCCCTCCAGTTCTGCTTGGTGCTGGCGTCCCCYGTGGTGTTTAATGAGCGTTTTTCACTCTCCTGTGCCAGCTCCAGGCTTGTATTAAAACCCTTTTCATCTTATTCCAGTGTCTGCTCCTCAAATAATGTCACATCATCCCAGGCCCTGTGCAGTGAAAAGCTGAAACTTTTTATTTTATTTTATTTTTTTTTTTTTTTTTTTTTTTTTTTTTTTTTTTTTTAAAATGGAACTTCTGCTCTGCTGAACCCTTAGACTGTATTTTTTTTTTTTTTATTTTGTTTGTTTGCATTTCAGTGCAGTTAGCCTTCAAAGCTGAATGTTTTGCTTCCCATCATAATAAACTGCTTGCTGTTTGTCTCTGGTTTGGATGTGGCACTCAAAAGACTCATTTTGTGTGTGGTGAGAAGTTGAGAGGCTCCGGAGGGTTTYAATGAATATTTGCTKGAAACTAGACCAATCAGTTTGTAGRAAAGTTGGTTTTATTTCTTTTATTTGTTTACATTGTTTAAATTAGCTTCTCTGTCATCAGTGACTATTTTTTTGGGCTTTTTGCTAGGCAGAGGAAGGCTGATTGCAGCCTTGCAATGTTGGAAAATGAAAGGTGTGGGAAGTAATAGCACTCATGTTATGTGTGGCTTCCCCTGAACATCTCCTAAATGCCCATTTTGTTTAAAATCCTTTTTCATAAACAAAACTCTGTGAAAAATGCTTTTCTGAGTCAAGTTCCTGCTTCCTCCACGAATTATGCTGGGATAACAGAAGGTATTTCTACTCTGGTTTGAGAATCTTCACATTTCAAATTTCCCTTTAAAACAGTGAAAATGCTGCACTGGGATCTTTTCTCACAGAAATTCAGGAGGTTTATGTTACAGAACAGATTTTCTTGGTATTTTACCACAGCATTTTGGAAGGCTGCCCAACCCAACCCTGGACCCCAGAACTTCAGCAGAACATTTTTTGTGAAGTTACCTTCAAGCACACGCTCCTTTCACAAGTTTGGTTTTGCAGCCAAACCTCTTCTTCAAAGTTAAGCTTGGTAAAATTGGGTAAAATTTATGCTGCTTCCACAGAAATGGAGTGGAGGCAGGGTTCTGTCTGGACCATGGGATTGAAATTTGGGCTGGCCTTGTGGCATTCTCTGCAATAAATCCATTTTTTATTTGTGCATGTGGACTTGAGGCTCCTTGGGACAGCGTTGTCTCATGGAATGGGATGCTGACAGGACAGAACRAGACCAAACACTTTTAATTCCTTCTCAAAGCCATGAAAATCATGATGCCCTGTGTGATATATTTGTTTTTTGGTGGGCGGGGGCAGCAGTCTTATTAAACTTCCAAAWTTAYATCCTAAACTTAATTTCYTTYTTTTTTTTYCTCTGYKTCTYSAAGGCTCAGCTGTCTCAGGTTCTGGAAGAAGTGGGAAACCACAAGCAGAGAGCAGAGATGGTGAGTGCTCAATTTCTGCCCTTTTTGTGTCTCACTTGTGTTACAGAGCAGCAATATGCAAAGTTCAGTTCATTTAAGCAGCAGATCAGTTCCCAATATTCAGAAATGAACAGCAAATAAAAATTGTCAAATTTTGGGTTTCTACGCCAGTCTTGGCATTCCTGTCTCCATGCTCACCAGGAAGAATTGTTGGGGATGAGAGGATGAGATCCAGTGGTCGGTCTTCTGTTTTTTGGCAATTCCTTTTCTCCTTAGCAGTTCTAGATCAGAAGCAAGCATTTAATTTCATACTGAATTAACTCATTTCTTTGGGGTCCTTTGATTCAGTCTCAAGTGTTCAAAAGGACAGGCAGATGAGATACAACAGAATTACCACAAGCTATTTTTTTATAATGCCTGTTAATTTTCTGCTGGGTTTGTCTATTTTATTGGCACTTCCCTCAAGGACCAAAAATAATAAAGGACACAAAACCAGGTAGTAGGGAGGTTTATGTGCAGTTTCATGACTCGAATATGATTYTTTATACTCAGGAATAAATGAGATGTCAGTGTTAAGCCGTTYTGTGAACTGATGTTTTTGCTAATGGATGAATTGTGGGACTCCTGCAACTTTTTTCCAGTCACAAGGAAAACCTGAGCAATATCCAAGATGCAGAGACTCATTCTGTAGATGTGATTAATTTTATTGGTAATGTAAAAATAGGCCTGCATCACTGGCTAGGAAGTAGGTGCTAAACAGACATCTGTTCTAAAATCCAAATTAYAAACTCCAGTGCCAGCATGGGTGTTTTCAGAGTTGTGCTGAGCTCCAGTAGGGCACTGAAGGGCAGCATGACGTGCCCCTGCTGTGCTATTAATGGGTTGCCATACGTCTGTTGGTATTTTTTTWAAAATTTGCGCCTCTTGCTGTTTCAACATCAGATTTTCCATAATGAGAGCATTAATTGATTCCAGTTCTGGGGTGGTCTCACGTTGTGGGCAAACATTTTTGTGTGCCCAGCTGCTTTCTGTGGTGACACAGGCCACCACTGATACATCCAAAGAAAACTGAATTAATCCTGTTTACCATCTGATCTCATTATGTGCTGCCTTGTAACACTTTCAAATTCCACACAATCAATTTTGCATTGTGCTCACTGGATGTATCAGAGGAAAAACTTGCTGTTATCTTTTAAATGTTCTGATGTTCTGGGTTTTTTTTTTTTTTTTAAACATTTCCAAGTTTTTCTTTTGGGCTCATTAAGCCTGGATTTTGAGTTGTTGGCCTTCAAAAATGTGTGGTATTAAGCAGGGTAGCAGAGGGCTGGATAAAGTGGAAGTTCCAATGTTAGAGCATTAATTGGTGCTGTGCATCATCCATCAGCAGAGGATAAAGAAGCAGTCAGTGYTCAGTGCCTGTTCCCAAGGGTTTCTCAGTGGAAAACTGCTGGTCTTGTGATCTTCCAGGAGCTCTTACATCCACCTCCTATGAACAGGCTGTTTTCTGTGGTGCTTTAGACYGTGGATTGCAGATTGTGAGGTGTGGGCTTTATTCAGCAGCTTGGGTTTCTTCAGTGTATACAGGAAAATTGATTCATACAGGGGAAAAGAGATTTCTTTTTTCCACTCTTGGGGGATAACATGACAGTGCAGCTCCTGCTTTTCACTGGTGTAGATGGTTCTTCTGCATCCCCTGCTGACACATCCCTGGTGGGGAAAGTTTTTGTCATTTTGTGTGTGCTACACTGTTGGGGTGACAGAGATCTGTCCCCTTTGGATGGGGCTGTTCCATAGCTGTCTGCCCTGTGGATGTTTCACCAAGTCCACTTTCCTTCTTTCCACACAGCAAAATGTTCTTTGTGTGGTTTTTCCCCCTTCTCCAGATCAGTTTCTCACCTGGACACCTTATTTTCAAACTCCTGTCAATCTGACTCTTCAGCACTATGATTTGCCTGGTTTGGATTCCTGAATTCACCTTCCTTTTCATCCCTTYCCCTCCTGTCTGTTTGATGTTGAGCTGGGAGTGCTGACAGATGTGGATATTGCTTTTCATCAGCTCCTCTGCAAACAGGACATGGTTCTAAGAGAAAAGGAGCAAACATTTCCAGGTGCTCTGGTGCTGCCTGATGTGTCTCTGGGCTGCTTTGGGACAAATCTGAGCAGGGGACACCCTGAAGAGCTCTGATGGCTCTGCCACCCTCCCTGGGGCACTGGAAATGAAGAGATGGGCTCTGGGGTTGGGGAATTGGCACCTCCCCAAGTCCCATGGTCTTCCTTCCATCACTGGGGCCATCTCTGGTAAATTATTTATATTTAAAATTGAAACACTCGTGGGATAWATCTGGTCCTGCCAGAGCAAAATGGGAATTTAGTGGAAAGGACTGGCTCTTCTGATTGCTCCAGTGCAGTGTTTTGTTTCTTGTCAATTAAAAGTGAGCGTGCTACTGGAGGAACAACAACAACAAAAAAAAGAAATTTAAACGTCTTCAGTTAATTGCAGTTGACAAGACAAAAGCAGTTTGACTTTCCAGTATTAATTAGCAAACCCATACTAATTAGCTTGTATAAGCACAATTCATGCCTCTTTCCCTAAATGCAATTAATATTGCAACTGAAGACATCTCTGGGCTGTGCCTCTGTATCATTAACGTACTTTGCCCTAATTAGACACGGCCAGTAGTGGCTGGAGAAATGAGTTAGTGATTACAACCATAAAAAACCTTCTAATATTTTATATCCTTCAGGGAACTTGAACCTAGAATTTATTTTTTGATTTAAGAAAAATTACCCTTATCGTTGTGCTGTGTAATTAACAACGAAACTTTGATTTTCCTCTCTCTCTAACCCTTCACTTGTTTATTTTTCTTTATTCACAGTTTAGGCATGTTCATACTGTAAGGAAATAGTGCCTGCCCATAATACACGAGTGTCATCACTTGTGGTAGGGATTGAGTTACTGAGCTGCCCCACAGATATGTGGGGTTTGTCTGTCTTTTACTTGCTGAATATTTGTTGTTTGCCTTTTTTTGTAAGAATGCACTCTTTTCTGACAATTTTATCAGCASTGGAAGTTTTCTTTATTGGGGCTGGTGCTGCAGTGTCTTCATCTCCAGGATGTGCCAGGAGGTTGCTCAGAGTTCACACARCTCCCTGATCTGTGGTCCCAGGTTCTTATTTCTCATGGTGTGTTAGTTCAGTGCTTTACTGGCCTAAAGCTGAGAGAGAGCTTCACTCACACCAAAATATTATTTGTGGGAAATGCCTTCTTGTTTGTTATATTATTTTTCTTTCCCTCCCCGAGGGAGGGAAACAGAAGACGTGTTCGTTTTTTGTAATTTTCGTTTGCCTTTTTCATATCCCTTTTATAGACACGAGGAGATTGTTTGGCTCAAGCTTGCCATCCAAGCAACAGCTCTGATCTCTGATCTTGTGCTTTCTTCCACTCTGGTTCTGTAGCAGGGGGCATTCATGTCAAGATTTTTTGTTCTCCATCATTAATCCCTGAGGGAAGCCAGCTTGGTATTAAAAAAGCATCACCTGTATTTTCATTACCCTGAGGTGCTCTGGGTATCTTTTGGCTTTCATCTTCAAAAGACAGCTTGGCCCATGTGGGCTCTGAAATCTATAGACTGCTCTTTGGAACAAATTAAATTTCACCCTCCAGCAGATTAAAAAGGATGGATGTAAGAATCAGAAGAATTGCTTAGCAGGGTGGGWGGTAAAGAAGATTTGAAGTCCAAGAATGCAGCCACCACCAAATGAATGGCATAAATTGAGTGTCCTTACAGAAGGAATAAAGRCACCTTAAAATTAATATAATGAATGGTCCTTGCCTTGAGGATAAGTGTTGTTTAACCCTCTGCAGAGWAAAGGAGACCTTTATTTAAGAGCAGCAGGTCAGCAATAGTTAAAGAGCCAATCATGGGTTCAGTCTGATGAAATCATAATGTTTGGGATTAACTTAAATGTCAGTCAGTGGCTGCCTACACTGATGGTTATCAGAAGCAGAAATGGAGCCAGAAAGGAGAGTGCATTGAGGAAATAAACTTGGAGATCACTGAGCTTGATGTAGTTGGGAAGTGACTGTTAACTGGGAGGCAACGTGGAAAAGTTGTTACCTACATTTTTAATTTAGAGCTAACACCAATGATAATAGGAAAAAAAAGTTAACTTTAGTGTAGAAAGACCTGCCCTGGCAAACTGGACAACAGAGCTCATTTAATTCTTGTTCAAGAGTTAATGAACATAAAGAAAGAAATACAACAAACCAAGCACRAGAACAAAAGTGGTGTTCATTAGTGGAAATGTAAATTCCCTGTATTATCTGTAATAGGAAGGCAATTAAATGTGGGATTAGAAGGCTGAACCATAGTAGTTATAAATAAAAAAATGAAGCTTTGTTGGAACAAACATAGAACCAACAGGTTGGCAGGGGCAGCAGACAACTGACTGGTGCAGGAAGCCTTCATCTATCAAAAATGTATTCCATAATCTCTGAATTGATTTAGCAGGTGACAGCAAATCTCCTTCCCATGTGACAGATTTTATCCTAACACCTTTTGTGAGTCCAGCAAAGCCAAGACAGATGAGCRGCGTGGCACTCAAGCGAGCAGCAGGGTGAATGGTTTTAGTGAGGCAATCTTGGAGAAATATCCACTTCTCAAATCAGATTGGAAAGCATGAATCTGGTTATAAAGAGACAGCAAAAGAAGCTAATCCAGAATGAAATGATATAGTAACAGAAGACTGGAAGAGGACTTTCAGATCATAAAGTCCAGTCCTTCAGTAACTGAGGCAAATGCAGCACATAGTTCATAAATTTATCCAGCTTGTCTTGAAACTGCCTTGGTTGTTTGTACCATTACTGTCATGGAAAGACTGCTCTGATAGCTGAAATCTTCCCAGTTCCAACTGAAAATGTATGTGCAGCTAATATCCATTTTTTTCTTGTGCTAATATTCTCCTTAAACTACAGTGACTGTTCTTCCTCCCTCATATTTATGCCGTGACATATTTATAGA